CATTTTAATACTGTCCAGAGAGAGGGCAAACCCAAAATATGCAACACATGCACCTGAAGATTGGTTCCTGTTGTGGTAAAAAGGTTCCTATAATTTGGGGCAAAAGAAAAAGGAGCCACTTCATGCAAAGATGCCTGAACAAGCCAAACCAAACTACTGAGCTCCCTAACAAAAAGGACACTTTCCTTTACAGTTTTGACTGGATTTTTATTAATCTGTGACATGTTTAAGGATATATTTTTATACAGACTGTGGTGTACTGTAAAAGGAGAGTGTCCTGTTGTAAAAAATAATAATAAAAACACTCTCCCCAATCTGGAAAAACCAAAAAGCTCTGGGGAGGCAAAAGACAGAAACCAGTCAAAGTTGGACGGCTGAACACCTGCCTGTCTATAGGTGCGGGGCACAAATGAAGCATGAGAAGAGTGTGGTTGGGTAAAGAGAGGGCGGGGGGAAGGAGTGAAGAAAGAAGAAAAGATGGCGGTGGACAGACAGGACGTGGCTTAGAGGTCAACGGCGGGCAGCTGGCTGCAGGCCGACTGCGAGAGCTTCGCCACCACGCGGGCCAGGGCCCGATTCTCAGCCTGCAGCCGCTCCTTGACTTGCCGCAGGGCCTGAACCTGCTTTACCTGGGGGAGGTTCTGCAGGGGAGGGGTGGAGGACAGAGAGAGAGAAAAAACAGAACACGGAGGATGGGAGGGGAGGGCAAAGAGTGGCAGAAGAGGAGGGAAATAAAGACATAATTGGAGACAAATCAAGAGAAAGGATTAATGAGAGACAGGACATTATAAATGAAAACAGGGAGGGAGCAAGAGGAGGAGAAGGGGAAAACAGGAGAGAAAGACTGTTAGAAAATGAGAGAGATTCAGGAAATTGAAGGAATGATTAAGGGCTTTTAGCTTCTGCATGACGCTTATAAAGCACGGTACAGTGAGCAGCTAAATATAAACCTGCTCTCACAGTGATGGAGGAACACATGCTTGCTGATAGTTTCAGTGAACTCTATGAAGCTTAACATGTGATTGTTCATTTTTCTTCAATACGTTTTTTTTCATTACATTCTTACGATTTTTGTGCCATTTCAACCATTTATACTTCAAAACATTCTGTTCCTACACGACATTCCAGCTATCACTTTTGGTGTTTTAGCAATTTGTACTTTTTGAAATATTATTCTTTTTCAGTCTATAAGTCTAATTAAAAATGTTTAAAATCAATCAAAAAATAGTTAGACGTTTACTGCACTTTTCACAGTTTGTCCTGGTTTTGCTTTTGTTTGTTTTTTTAACTTTGTGCCAACTTCAGATTCCTTTTCCTATTTCTTTCCTTTTTTAAATTGATTGGTTGATTGATATTTAACCAGACAAGTCCCGTTGAGATCTCAGATCTCTTTTTTAAGGGAGGCCTGGGCCTGAAGACAACATACTGTATTGTACATGTTTTTGGGGGTGGGGGGGAAACCGGAGTGCCCGGAGAAAACCCACATCAGCACGAGGAGAACATGCAAACTACACACAGAAAGACCCCAAGTCCGAACCAGGGATCGAACCTGGGACCTTCTTACTGTGAGGCATTGGTGCTAACCACTGAGCCATTGTGCTAGCTTTTCTCAGCTCTTTTTTTAGCTATTCTGCTAACTCAAACATTTCTGCTAATTTTAGCATTTTATGCTTCTGTTTTTTTCTGATTTCAGCCATCTTTTTTAAATTTCAGCCATTTTTTGCAATTACAGCTACTTTTTGTTCTTTTCAGCTAAAAATTATCCTTTTTCGGGTAAATTCACCTTTTTGTCATAATTTTCTTTTCTTACTGCTTAATTCAGCAAACGTTTTAGCTACTTTTCACAATTTTTAGCTTTTGGCCATTTTAAAGCGAATTGCAAAATTTTAGTACATTTTCACAGAAATRGCAKYTTCTGTAGTTCATGTTTATTCTCTTTCAATCAATTTCCCACAAAACCAGCAATAAACTGGTCATTCAAGTGCAAAAGCTTTAATGCMGATTGTCTTGTTTACCACCTGGCAGGTCTACGCTCGTGTTTCTGTAAACCACTACYAACAGGAAAGTGATACAGTTTTACAACTTAAGAGCACATTTTATGTTCAAATAACATGCTAATAAACCGTGTGTGTGTGTTTGATTGTACCTTTAGTTCCTCCTCCATCTCAGAAATTTTCCTTTCTAGAGCTCTTTTTTCCTGTAGGGGACAAAAAATAAATGTTACGGATGAATTTAAACG